TTTTTTTATTGTTTTTAAATGAAATACTTTCTCAGGCAGAAAGAGAAATGTGCTGAGCATTTGCTAAATAAGTGCCATCACTGTTATAAAGAGTTACAGTGCACTGGTTTCTTCTATTTGCAAGGAAGGCACAACAATCATTTGCTTCAAGTACAAAACTGCTGATTTGACCATGAATGTAGTAATAACTCACCAAGCTTATAGAACCGATCTTCTGTTCGTTTGTACTTCTCTTTGGTCTTCAATTCAGCGTCCTGCAAGAGATAACATCCTCATTTAGAAGCACTTCAAGAGCCTGTCTTAAAGGTACTTGCACTATGCTATCAATGTTAGACACAATTGTAGGAGTAACGTTTGTATTCAATGGTAAAATAATAAGTAAACCCAAGCTCACAAACCCATTTACACAAACTCAGATGCATTACCAGCCTCATTTATTCAAGGAACGTCTGCAAGAACAAACATCAAAGCCCATTCGAAGCCTTTTTAAGCTCTGTATCACAGCAGGATGGCAGTACGCAGCCTCATTACCACGGTTGCTCAACCTGCGATTGACTAAAATTAGCCCTGGTGGCAGTGTACACAGGAGACCTACGCCAGATATTCCTGTCAACCTGCAGTTAGACGCTGACAAACCTGTCACCCTGGGGCTTGTTTGGACATTTAGAGGAAACCGTATAAATCTAATTGAGAATGTGTTTTTTCATTTACCGAAAAGGGCAGGATCTCGACAGTAGTGTTCTCTATTTTGTCTCCTGGGTGCTCCTGGTTTCCGCTGCGAAAAAGGAACCTGCCAATCAAAGGCTGATTGTTAATGAATATGCATGTACAGGCACAAACTCATGAATATTTGTCAACACGCATGTACAAACACTGGCAGGACATGGACAAGAACTTGTGAAGACTGAGTCTAACTTAAGACATCGTGGCCTGAACACACACAGATAAGGGGTCTCTAGATAGGCCCCTACTTGAGCTGCTAATTAAATCCAGTCACACATTACTAAATTGACACTTCATCTTGTTAGCACTGTTTCTACTCACACAAACACTTTGAACAGGTCAAGTCTCTGTTAGACAAACAAAACTAATGAGCAAACAGCATGACTGTCTGTCTACATCAATTTCCAAAATAACCCTCATCTCTCTCTGTCTATCGTATTCACTAACAGGATCAACCATAAGGGTGGTCTGACGTACCAGGATAGGTGTAAGAGAGTTTTGGGCCTTCAAAAAATACAGCAAAAACCATAAAATTGTGAAATATTATTACAATTTAAAATAACTGTTTTGTATTTTAATCTATGTTAAAATGTAATTTACTCCTGTGATGCAAAGCTGAATTTTCAGCAGTTGTGAGGCTTTTACAGAAACCGTAATACTTTTTTGTACTGAAATTAGAGAAAAAAAGAAAGACATTTTGTCATCAATTATTCACTTATGTTGTTTCAAAACTGTATGAATTTCTTCTGTGGAACCAGAGCCGTTGAGAAACAGAGTTGCGACACTCCCATGGGCATCCTCCCATAGGCATCCTATTTCTATTTCTATATATAGTGCAATATTTATTTTTCTGTTTTTCTTATATTAGTGTTATTTCATCTTTACTGTGTAATTCTATGTATGTCTGCACTATGTGTGTACTTTCTTCTGCACTGGAAGCTCTTGTCTCCAAGTCAAATTCCTTGTGTGTGTAAACATACTTGGTAATAAAGCTCCTTCTGATTCTGATCCATAGGAACTGAGGAATGCTGAAGTGAAGCGTGTCATGGAGCAGCCAATAGTTCCAGCATTGAACCCCATTCATTTCAGAGTTTCTCAAGGACACTCTTGCTGGTAAATTGAAGAAATGACTGCATTTTTTGACATTTTAACACATTAGTTGATCTCTCTGAAATCTGTCCAGTAGTGGTATTTTATGAAGCGCGTTATAGTTAATGTTTATCGTTAGATAAAAGAGAGTTATACTATATAATTGCATTTAGATAATGTGAGAAACACCTTAATTAGCGACCATAACCAGATGCTAGTTGTTATATTTTTAAGTTTTTAGTCTTTCTGCAATCTTTCTCTCCCCGTAGGAGGTTGAATGAGTTTCAATGAAGCTTGCTCATTCAAGGAATACAATAAAGAGTTTTGCTGAATGCAACTGGTTGCCTTGTGCTTTTTTAAACTTTATTTGGGGATAAATTCCATATTTGCTTGCCTTTTGTAATATTCACTTATGTTGTACGCTTATATGAATATCACAAAATAACACTGGGATGTGAATCATTAACCTTTTTAAATGTAACATTTAAAAAAATCGAAACATAAAAATCGAATGTTTGATAATGTCTAAATATACATTCAAATGCAAAACCTAAAAAAAAAAAAAAGCAATTAAGACCAGCAATACTCTTTTTAGCAACTAGAGCCAAATACATGTAGGCTATATTTATTAAACAGCCATACAGGCATCTAGTGGTTAAACCATGGCATTGCAAATGAATATTATTTTTTCTGGCCACCAAATGCCTAATTTCCTTCTTTGCACTGGAATTTAAAAACATTTTCTCCATTTTAACCCTAAATACTACACTAATTGTAATATAAATAATAAGCATATTAGAAAATGTTATATTTTAAATAAGTGCCATCACTGTTATAAAGAGTTACAGTGCACTGGTTTCTTCTATTTGCAAGGAAGGCACAACAATCATTTGCTTCAAGTGCAAAACTGCTGATTTGACCATGAATGTAATAACTCACCAAGCTTATAGAACCGATCTTCTGTTCGTTTGTACTTCTCTTTGGTCTTCAATTCAGCGTCCTGCAAGAGATAACATCCTCATTTAGAAGCACTTCAAGAGCCTGTCTTAAAGGTACTTGCACTATGCTATCAATGTTAGACACAATTGTAGGAGTAACGTTTGTATTCAATGGTAAAATAATAAGTAAACCCAAGCTCACAAACCCATTTACACAAACTCAGATGCATTACCAGCCTCATTTATTCAAGGAACGTCTGCAAGAACAAACATCAAAGCCCATTCGAAGCCTTTTTAAGCTCTGTATCACAGCAGGATGGCAGTACGCAGCCTCATTACCACGGTTGCTCAACCTGCGATTGACTAAAATTAGCCCTGGTGGCAGTGTACACAGGAGACCTACGCCAGATATTCCTGTCAACCTGCAGTTAGACGCTGACAAACCTGTCACCCTGGGGCTTGTTTGGACATTTAGAGGAAACCGTATAAATCTAATTGAGAATGTGTTTTTTCATTTACCGAAAAGGGCAGGATCTCGACAGTAGTGTTCTCTATTTTGTCTCCTGGGTGCTCCTGGTTTCCGCTGCGAAAAAGGAACCTGCCAATCAAAGGCTGATTGTTAATGAATATGCATGTACAGGCACAAACTCATGAATATTTGTCAACACGCATGTACAAACACTGGCAGGACATGGACAAGAACTTGTGAAGACTGAGTCTAACTTAAGACATCGTGGCCTGAACACACACAGATAAGGGGTCTCTAGATAGGCCCCTACTTGAGCTGCTAATTAAATCCAGTCACACATTACTAAATTGACACTTCATCTTGTTAGCACTGTTTCTACTCACACAAACACTTTGAACAGGTCAAGTCTCTGTTAGACAAACAAAACTAATGAGCAAACAGCATGACTGTCTGTCTACATCAATTTCCAAAATAACCCTCATCTCTCTCTGTCTATCGTATTCACTAACAGGATCAACCATAAGGGTGGTCTGACGTACCAGGATAGGTGTAAGAGAGTTTTGGGCCTTCAAAAAATACAGCAAAAACCATAAAATTGTGAAATATTATTACAATTTAAAATAACTGTTTTGTATTTTAATCTATGTTAAAATGTAATTTACTCCTGTGATGCAAAGCTGAATTTTCAGCAGTTGTGAGGCTTTTACAGAAACCGTAATACTTTTTTGTACTGAAATTAGAGAAAAAAAGAAAGACATTTTGTCATCAATTATTCACTTATGTTGTTTCAAAACTGTATGAATTTCTTCTGTGGAACCAGAGCCGTTGAGAAACAGAGTTGCGACACTCCCATGGGCATCCTCCCATAGGCATCCTATTTCTATTTCTATATATAGTGCAATATTTATTTTTCTGTTTTTCTTATATTAGTGTTATTTCATCTTTACTGTGTAATTCTATGTATGTCTGCACTATGTGTGTACTTTCTTCTGCACTGGAAGCTCTTGTCTCCAAGTCAAATTCCTTGTGTGTGTAAACATACTTGGTAATAAAGCTCCTTCTGATTCTGATCCATAGGAACTGAGGAATGCTGAAGTGAAGCGTGTCATGGAGCAGCCAATAGTTCCAGCATTGAACCCCATTCATTTCAGAGTTTCTCAAGGACACTCTTGCTGGTAAATTGAAGAAATGACTGCATTTTTTGACATTTTAACACATTAGTTGATCTCTCTGAAATCTGTCCAGTAGTGGTATTTTATGAAGCGCGTTATAGTTAATGTTTATCGTTAGATAAAAGAGAGTTATACTATATAATTGCATTTAGATAATGTGAGAAACACCTTAATTAGCGACCATAACCAGATGCTAGTTGTTATATTTTTAAGTTTTTAGTCTTTCTGCAATCTTTCTCTCCCCGTAGGAGGTTGAATGAGTTTCAATGAAGCTTGCTCATTCAAGGAATACAATAAAGAGTTTTGCTGAATGCAACTGGTTGCCTTGTGCTTTTTTAAACTTTATTTGGGGATAAATTCCATATTTGCTTGCCTTTTGTAATATTCACTTATGTTGTACGCTTATATGAATATCACAAAATAACACTGGGATGTACCTTTTTAACCTTTTTAAATGTAACATTTAAAAAAATCGAAACATAAAAATCGAATGTTTGATAATGTCATTCAAATGCTTCAAATGCAAAACCTAAAAAAAAAAAAAAGCAATTAAGACCAGCAATACTCTTTTTAGCAACTAGAGCCAAATACATGTAGGCTATATTTATTAAACAGCCATACAGGCATCTAGTGGTTAAACCATGGCATTGCAAATGAATATTATTTTTTCTGGCCACCAAATGCCTAATTTCCTTCTTTGCACTGGAATTTAAAAACATTTTCTCCATTTTAACCCTAAATACTACACTAATTGTAATATAAATAATAAGCATATTAGAAAATGTTATATTTTAAATGGTCATTCATGGATCATAATTATTGCACATATTATTTAGTACCAAAAATCTTCTCAAAATATGAACTAAATAGAACTAAACTAAAATATAGCACATTTATTTAATTGATTAAAAGTTACACTTAAGGTGTTTGGTCACATTTGACTGCCAAAGAGTATGAGAACATATTAATGCTCTCTTTATCACTCCCCAGAATAAAATGCTATTGTAAAGCGTAGTCAGCGTAGTTATCAATGCACATTATGTGTTCATAATTACTAGAAATTGCAGCTAATATAGTGAAACTGCTGTATGTCCTGATTAAACCCATTCAAACAGACTGACAGCGCGGAGTTGTTTGAGAGCACCATGAACCATGTGACCGTGTTGCAACTCTCTCTCTCTCTCTCAACGGCTCTGTATGAAACATACTATAAAATATATTTTGAAAAATGCTGGCAAGACAGGACCCAGTAGACCTTGTGATGATGTCATCATCAAATACAGAAATTGTCACTGTGTATGTGTACAAAAACAGTCAAAACATTCTTCAAATATCTTGTATGTTATTCAGAAGAAAAATCCACATAGGTTCGGAATCACATGAGGGTGAGTAAATGACAACCCCTTGACAACACCTTTAACAACATGGTTATGAATTATGTGTATTTAAACATGTCACTAACCAAATATCTAGTTGGCTGATATACTGTAGATGAGCTATTGTTTTCTAATTGACAAAAAAAAAGATAAAAGCATTAGAAATATGTTGAAATTTCATAAATTATTTTTATGAAAGATTTAGATTTATAAAATAAGTTTTATTATTTATATTACTTGTTAAAAAAAGCTTCACATTTAAAACAAAATTCTAAATATATTTTCTGACACGCATACAGATATGTTGCTAAAAATACAGGCCGTTCTGGCAGGGCAACCAAAAATCCAAAGCACTGACCCAGATTGGGCCTGCAAAAAAAGTAAGAATCTTCTCCTAGAGTTGTGTATCTGCTCAACATTGTTTTCTCAATTACATCCCTCTGTCTTCCTCTCCAGAGGTTTTTGGTTGCAGCGTCTTATTTTAGAAGCTTCTCATTAGCCACCTCTACTCCCCTGTGAGGACAGTGAGACATAGAGACGTGTGAATGATGTCTCCTGATTAGAGCTGTCTGAGTGAGTGTGAACATCACTTTTAGGAGAGGGTGAGGATTACAGAACAAAATCATTTGGGTGTGTGTATTTGCATGTGAATAGTGTATTAAATAAATGTGGATAAATGCAATATTGGTCCCTCAAATGTCCTGAACCTCTCTCACACTGGCTCTAGGTCATCGCACCATCATTACCGTCGATCCCTGTGAGAGTGTGTGTGTGTGTGTGTGTGCATCTCTCGCAGCCATCCTGAGAGAGACTGACCTTTCTATGTAGACGGGCCGATCAAACTTGAACAGAACATAGTCTCCAGCCATTGGAGTAATGGCCCAGAAAAAGTCCTCGCCCAAGTATGTCTTCTCAAGTGTATGACCTTGATACACTTTTAGAGAGGTGGACACCTCCGCCGGCGGGTTCACATGAATCTTATGCAGCAGAGGTTTCAGGAAGTCTTTATCCTGACAGAGCACAAGACAGAGTTAACAGGAAGTGCAGCTGATGGCCGGACTGATTTATAACAGTCCTTAACAGTAAAAACAGCAAGCGAAATTGGGTAAAAGTTCAGCTATTCAAGAAAAAAAGACACTTGGGTACAAGAAAACAGGAAGTCAAAGCAAGGTTGTATGGAAGAGAATCAGGACTTTTAACAGCTAGAGGAAAGATTTGACAGTTGTGCAAGGTCATGAAAAGCCAGTAATAACATCCATCTCAGATGATCAGATCACAAGCGGTTTAACCGGGTTCCAACATGTTTTGGACAACAATCACTAAAACTACATTTGTAGTGTAAACAATAATGTGTCCTGAATAACAAATGAACGACTTGCTTGTCAAACATCCATTATGCTAAAACAAGGGTTTAAACTTTGCTGGTTAGGTCACCCAAGATGGATGTTTATACCAGGTGTAAACAGTGCCTAACACTCATGACGTAAGAGTTACCGTGAGTTTCTGGATTTTCCCAGCGAGGGAGGAGTGTAGGCCTACGTGCTGAAACAAAGAGGGCCTGAAACGAATGCGCAGACTCGACTTCTGTCTCTCACAGTGTTTCTGGAAAGAAAAAGAATGAGGAAACCAAGTTAGACTGTGAGAATGACATAATACAAATAGAGTTAAAAATAAAGAAATACAGATAGAGACATAACGTGTCTGTTTGTAGAGAGAAAGAAAGATCTAAAAAAAAACAAGTTCCTGTTCTGCTCCGCTCAAGGAGTGTGAAAAGCCTCTCACTGATGCACCACAGCAGAGGAGAGTTCAAGGTCACAGAAACACACTTGCAGTCAGAGAGTATTCACTTACGGCATCTTTCTCTGGGTTGCATACTTTGACCCAGAGTATGTGATCCAGGAGCCAATCAATGGGCTTCTCCTTATAAAACATGAAGATAAACTCCACAATGAGATTTAGATCTGGGGCTTGGAACATCTTACCTGAGAGCGACAAAAAAAAAAAATTTATAATAATAATGCATTAATTTAAAGACTACCAATTCAAAAGTTTGGGGTTGTAAAGACTTTTAAATGTTTTTGAAAAAAGTTTCTTATTCTCACCAAGGCTGCATTTATTTGATAAAAATACAGTAAAAACTGCAGTGCTAAAAATAAATATATTTTATATATTTTCAAATGTAATTTATTCCTGTGATCCAACGCTGAATTTTCAGCATTACTACTCCAGTCTTCAGTGTCACATGATCCTTCAGAAATCACTCTAATATGCTGATTTGGTGAAAAGAAACATTTCTTTTTATTATCGTCTGCTTAGTATTTTTGTGGAAACAGCATTTTTTCAGGAAGTTCAAAAGAACAGCATTTATTTCAAATAGAAATCTTTTGTAACATTCTAAATATTTACTGTCATTTTGGATTAATTTAATGCATCCTTGCTGAATAAAAGTATTAATTTATAATAAAAAAAAATATGAAAAGAAAGTCTTAAAGAAAACTCAAATGAAAATTCTGTCATCATTTACTCGCCCTTATGTCTTTCTAAACCTGTTCTTTCTTCAGAGGGACTCAAAGGGTGAATATTTATGCAGCTCAAATTATATAGACTACTTTTATGTTGCTGTTTTGGGGCTTGATATCTCCTGGATACTGTGCCTCCATTGTATTGAAAAGAGCAGTGGGAACATTCTTCAAAATCTCTCTTTTAGCGTTCCATGGAAGCACAAAAGTCATACAGTAGGGAATAAAATGAAGATGAGGAAATGATGACAATATACAGTATATATATATATATATATATATATATATATAAAAGATATTTAAAAATAAAGATATTTAAAATATAGAAGTCACACCAATGAAGCCCAGCGCTGAAAACTCAAGGATCATCCAGTCCTCAGTGGCGAGTTGTAGAGCAAAGTTTTTCATGGTGGCAAAATAGTTGGGCTTGGCAACGATGTCATCCTCTAACTGTTAGAACAACAGGAAACAGTTATGAATCATACAGAACAGCTCATAAACCAGATCTGCTTTGACACAAGCTGCACCTACTAGAAATATCACATCTAACTAACAATCAACCTGGAGAAAGAAAGAAAAAAAAAGAAGAAAAAAAAAACCACACATTCGCTCTTGCCACCAACAGAAGCACAGAAAAACACTAAGGCCCTGTCCCAAATCGCACCCTAAACCCCTCGCTGTCTTCTTCGGAGTCCACAATTTCGTGACGTAATGCCGCTTTGACTGTCAGTTATTACATTATGAGTTGCTACAAAGTCTGCTGCGGAGCTCGCCTAGCGAGGGCGCATAGCGGCCGCAAAGCAGGCACTCGCGAGCACCCTTCTGAAAGCTAAAATGACAAACGGGACACTCTACAGTCTCATGGACTTAACGGACACGCGCATGCGGTGGCCATTGTAAGTCCGCAAGACCGCAAATGCACGTGCAGTGTGCCATTTGGGACAGGGCCAAAGTTAAAGCATGTTGTAACTTGAGTTCCAAAAAAAAAACATGAAAGCAATACCTTTCCCATCTCCTAAGAGAGCACAGCGTGTATTGAGAGCACAAAGACATGGAGACACTAGAGAGATTTATTGGCACGGCAAAGAAAAAATGAAAGCAAAAAAAAAAAGAATGAAAACATTCAGTACAGTCCAACACACAGACATGAAAGAAGCATGTGAGAATGAGAAAGCCATGAAAGTGGAATGACATAAACATTACGGGATGCTTTTTTTGTCTTTGGAAAACATGGTTAACATTAGAAAGACTTAATACACACAAAACATACTATTGTTCAAAAGTTTGGGGTCAGTACAATTTTTTAAATGCTTTTGAAAGAAGTCTTGTATGCTCACTATGGATGCATTTATTTGATACAATTTAAAATAAATTTCCTATTTTAATAAATGTTAAAAAGTCATTTATTCCTGTGATGGCAAAGCTGAATTTTTAGCATCATTACTCCAGTCTTCAGTGTCACATGATCCTTCAGAAATCACTCTATGATCTATCACTATCACTCTGTAAATCTTATTATCAGTGTTGATAAGAGTTTTTGCTGCTTAATTCTTTGATAAATATAAAGTTCAAAACAGCATTTATTCATAATAGAAATATTTTGTAACCAATGTCTTTACTGTCACTTTTGATCATATTAGCACTTCACTGCTAGTATTAACTTCTTTCAAAATTTCTTTCAGAATGTAAAATCGTACTAATCCCAAGCATTCGAAAGGTGGTGTAAATGTAATCAATTAAAATAAAGCTTTTCATCATGAACAACTGAATCAGCCTCTCTTCACAAGTATGATGTTAAATGACAAGTTAAAGACTCTCATGTGTGATACTGGATAAATATTGAACAATTTCAAACAAGTATAAATATAAAAACGCATTTATTAATTTATTTCATTCACATCATGCTCACTCCAACAGATTAGTTGAAAGGTGGACATTGGATAGTGAGCACTAAACATACAGCATTACAGCTGCTATCTTGCACACTGCAAAAATAACAGGTTGGCAGAGGTATTTTTCATCATTTTATGCTTTTCATGTTTGTTTGTTCAGCAGTGGGAAACAAATAAGAGGTGTCAAGTTGAGTGTTATGCCGCTTTAAATCTGCTGCGATCATGTACAGCTGCTCTAACCGTAGCAAATTCTTTCCCCTGATCATATTCCCAGCTGTAAAACCATTATCACTTCATAAAAACAAAAATCCCAAAACCACCAAGTCATGTTCCCATGACAACCGCTACAGAGCCAAAGTGTGTCTTTAGGGTATATCCAGATACATGAGTTACCACGGCAACCCCTGAGCAGAGAGCTTTTGGGGTACTTTATGTCTGTCTGAACTGAAGAGCTTCCAGTGGGGATCTGGCACACTAACTAGAAACCTACACTGAAATATGCACCGTCTGGGAAGCTGACTGTTAGCGGATAATTCAATCAAAAGATATTTCATCAACATTTTAAGTTTAACACTGGTCTCAACTGCTCAGCTTCATGTCTAAGTACGATATGCAGTCAATTAGCAAAGATAAGAGTTTTGATTCGACCTCCAGTCTGCGTAAGTAAATGAAACTGTAATATACTTACAGTAATATACTTAAATATAATATATGCTTATAATCATTTAAAATATGCAGCCATCACACGGTTTTGAAAATGCAACTATAAACAAAAATATTTTTTAAACTATGTCACTGGAAGTAAAAGTAAAGCTGGTTAACTTTAACTTAGTAACCGTGTGGGAATATCATGAAGGAAGATAATGAAACATCAGTAAAAATGTCAAAAGTTAAATTTTTTTTAAATAAAATATTTATTAAAATAAGTGACGTAACAACAACACAGACTTCAGTGTTAGCGTTTTAGTATTATTCAGTATTAAATTCAGTATTATTTATATACTATTATATTTTAAATCAGCTTTTATTTTTATATTATTCAGGTTTTTTTTTTCATTTAAGTGTTTTAAGTTTTTCATCCAATATTTGTTATTTTATATCAGCTTTATTTCAATTAACAAAAATGATTTTATAATAGTTTCAAGTTTAACAATAACAAAATATACATGAAAATTAATGTAAAAAGAATTAAACTTTTAAAATAATTTATAAATAAAATAATAACATAACACTAAAAACTACAGGCTTAAACACCATGAGTGAATTTAGGCATTATAAAGTACTGTATGAAAATGTTTATTCATTTTGAGATGTGCTGAAGATTACATTTATTGCTGTTATTAAATTATCAGTAATTAAAAAAAAATAACTTTAGGATTACGTAAGATAATGGCAAAATAATAATATCTATTTAAAAGCAGGGGAACTATCATATACAATTAAATATTCAATCGAAGCCAATATATCCAGTGTTAACTGCTACTGAAAATTTAAATAATAATAATAATTTATATCAACCAACAACCAATATGGTACCAATCTATTATGTATCTCAATTATTGTCTGTGGTAATTCACAGCATGCCACAAATGCTGTTAAAAGACATTAGGTTGAAAATAGTTTAGACAATCAAACAGACGGTGTTACCGTTTCAGAGTTAAAATACTTTCTACAGTTTTTAGCTTGTTTATTGTGCAGAAACAGCCATAAGCAAACCATGCGTAGGTTGCTTTACCCAAAGTGTAAACACTATGATGCTTTCAAAACATTGCTCTGTTTCTATTTGTATCCTGACCATCCTGAGACAGCCACACTGACTCAACCAATGGTGTGAGTTTGCCGACCAATAGCAGACAGGGGAGTGTTTTGGGAACCTGTTTGAAAAGTCATTCGATTTTTCATTCTGATCAGTGACGCTAGTGGTGCAGACATTACACGCTTCACCTTTAAACTTGGTAATTTGATTACCTGGACATAATAGACCCCTTTGTTCACAGCATACATCATTAGAAAGGAATAGTCCAAGTTCTGCTTGGTCCTCCATCTACAAAGAAACACAAATACAGCACATCATACATTTGTTAAAAAAGTCCAGCAGCCTAAAAGCCAAGGTTGAATGTAGAAGTTAACCTGTTGATGAGTCAGCTAACTGACCGGGAGTGAAATTCTAGATGTCAAGCGTATGACGAGTGTGACTGACAGTAACAGAAAACAGAAACATACATAGCCGAGAAGCTAAATAAAGGTAGGGTGAGGCTATAAACAAAAACACATCACTCACACATACTCAATATAACCTTTGTTATTCATTCGTCCTTTTCGGTAAGAGGTTCAGAAAAGAGAGACATAAATATTCAAAAAGGACAAAGAATATTAAATATGAGGGGCATCAAAGCCGCTCATTTCCTTTGATCAAACTGACTTTGTAAAGTGGATGAGAGTAGAGTTTGTGGAACAGAATAAGAACTCAGATGCTTAACAAGGCACACAAACTAAAATCACACACACACACACACAGTTAAGTCAGATGGCATCACTGTGAACAACTTTAATGCTTTGTAAAGTTGGTTCACTCAGAAGCCATCTTAGCAATGTCCTTGATAGTCTAAATCAACACTAAAACCAAATGAGAGTAAACCTTTAGTTACATATAATTTATAATTCAGAGCGTGTGCAGAGCAGGGCGACGCGAGGAACAGTATTAAGAACCGCTGCTTTAGAACACTGATTTTGAAACTTGTGAATCCATTAGAATCGTTTTTTGTAGGCATTAAACTGCCATAATTTTAAAAGATGATATCTCCATTTGCATTGAACTTTCAGCGTCGTAACTTTGCAGATATTGTTTATGCTCAAACAGCAGCATTACACACTAACTAACGTTAAAAAAGTGAAATCGCAATCAACCACCCCTTTAAAAAAACGTAAATAATTTAGAAATGTTTGAAAGCTACATGGCCCTGATTTAATTTAATGTTATATATATATTTTTTATTATTATTAATTGAATAAACAAAAGAGTGTGTTGAACAGCATATCAACTGCTATTGAATATCTCAGTGGTATTAAGAATAATAATATTCGGCATTGGCATAGTCTATTTTTCAGTCGTGACAACCCTAGGACGGACAGAATCACAGTTATGAAAGAGAGAGCATGACACCAAAAGATAGAATCGGCAGTGAAATAGATGCCCAGAGTGATTGAGATTAAATTGAGACAGCTGTGGATGAAAGATTTAGGGAGAGCAGGAGATGAGAAGAGGAGTCCTTTTAGGACAGACAGAGAGAGAGAGAGAGAGAGAGGGGAGGAAGGAAGGAATGAAGGAGTTGATGTCTTTGACCTTGAGCTTAGTGGCTTCCTGTCTCACAACAAATCTGCCACGCCTCTTTCTCTCCAGAAAATCTCATTGACATCTCTCTCTCTCTCTCTAATCACATTTGTGACAGTAAATCAGCTCTGACTCAGGCACTGAAATATGAGATCCGGGCTAATCAAAACTTTATTTCATCCTTGCCACAGAAATCTCTATGGGCACATAAATACTGTCACGTGCACTCGCCACAGCAACAGCCAGCGCAACCGCAATCAATACACCTACACACACCACCTGTCAAACGCTTGAACATGCTCGACTAAAATTAAATGTTTTGATTTAGTTTTGTAGACAAATAAAATGCTGTCTTTTTGTATATATTTGACATGAAGTATGTATAAAATGTTTACAGTTTTTTACAATGTTTACACTACACAATTCCACACTTACAGTTTTGATGACTTGACTAATATCCTAAAATATGGAAAACAGTAATAATAAGTAGGTGTGTCCAATTCTTTGAATGGTAGTGTATATAGGCTACGATACGGACTACACTACTGCATACTATTATACTTTCTTGCATATGTAGTATGCAATATTGTTTCAAAACTAAGTACATTGAGTACAGTACGCAAAAAAATGCCAATTTTCGATGAAGCATGCATATGCATTTTTTGAGAAAAAATGTTGTCCTCTGCTCAACATGCATACTACTGCTCAAAAGTTTGGGGTTAGTAAGATTTTTTTTTGTTTGTTTAAGTAAATTAATATGTCTATTTAGTAAGAAAATTCGTAAATTTATTACATTTCTATTTATGCATTAAATTGATCAAAGTGACAGTAAAGACATGTATACTGTTACATAATATAACTATTTCAAACAAATGCTGCATATTAGAATGATTTCTGAAAGATCATGTGACACTGAAGACTGGAGTAATGATGCTGGAAATTCAGCTTTGCATCACAGGAATAAATTACATTTTACCATATATCAAAATAGAGAACAGGTTTTTGTAAAGTGTAATAATATTTAACCTTAATACAGCTTTTACTGTATTTTTGATCAAACAACTGCAGCCTTGAAGCCTTCTTTAAAAAAACATTTTTTTTAAATCTCACCGACCCCAAACGTTTGAACAGTAGTGTACGTAGTAATTTTTTGGTAATAAATTAGGTCATTTTTAGGTAATACATTTTTCCATATGCTAACGTTTACAGTAAACAACAAGGCAACTGTTTTATTTATATTTAATACAGAAGTATGTACTTTCCCACAGTCTATTAGTGTACTGTAGAAGTGTGTGGCTACTGTCGAGCATAATGTTTCCTGAATACTTACTTCACCCGCTCCTTTGAGTCACCAAAGGTCTCTTTCAAGCTGCTGAAGTCTGGGTAGTAGCTGGCAGGGGGAGATATGACCTCCAGTAACCCAGAATTCAGCTCTGTGTAGAACCTTATGGACAATGACAGTCAAGAGCAACGGTTAGCAAGGCATCTGAACCATTAGGCTAAATGTACAATTGAGATCATTGACAGGCAAAACAAAACCTTTGGGGAAGTTCAACTTGTGACAAAAGAAAACATTACTTACTCTTTTTCAAGGCCTGCAACCACACTGTTTACGTAATCTATGTCCGTCTGTGAGGAAGCAAAGAAAGCACTGGTTAGCGCGCGCGCGCACACACACACACACACACACACACAGGCTCGGCAGAAACACAAGTGCAGTAACAACTAAGTAAATACACCAGCAGCGCCTGACAACCTGGAAAAATATGGGAATTGGAGTGACTCTGCTCTGGGCTGTTTATTATCTCGGTAAGGTGGACGAATTGTCTTTTCTCACTGATTTTCTTCACCCAACACCATCTGTGGGTGAAAGTACTGTAAAACTGCAGTGAGCGATGTGGGAAGGGATATCCTCTCTCTGTCACACACATGTGCTCGGGTAACACAAGAGCCTCATTAAAGGGTCTTTAGATGCACTGCCACTGGGTGTTCCCTCTTTACTAAAGCACTCCAAACTAATCACTACCATCGTTCCAGAAAGCTACAAGAATAGCTGATGACTGATCACACAAAAAACATCAGCCAGACCTAACCACAGCCCACAGACACGGAGCCAGGTACAAGCAAGCACTGCACATAAACTGGAGCAAAATAACTACATTTATTATGCCAAGACGGTTAACGTATAGAAACACTGTGTACTGTTAGGTGTTAGGCTGCACCTAACTTTTCTTTTTTTTCCTGTTTATTAAAATACACTCTTTTTTGATTAGTCACTTAAACTAACAGTTCTAGAACAGCCCACTGCAACACAGTAACAACATTCCTATTATATACTACCAGTCAAAAGTTTGGGATCAGTAAGACTTGTAATGTTTTTTAAAGAAGTCTCTTATGCTCATCAAGGCTACATATATTTGATCAAAAATACAGAAAAAAAAACAGTAATCTTGCAAAATGTTATTACAATATAAAATAATGGTTTCTATTTTAATATCCTTTAAAATATTATAAAAATATATAAAATTAATAATTTATTTCTGTGATGCAAAGCTGAATTTCCATCAGCCATTACTCCAGTATAAAGTGTCACATGATCCTTCAGAAA